TAGTGCTTGAACTTCAGAGGCAACATCTCATAGAATTGTTAGTATTTTGAAATCTGTAATGCTAGGCAGAGAAAAAAAAAATACATACTGATTTTTTGTTCATCTCAGCCTATGATCCCACTGAAGATTTATGGTAAATCACAATTGACTTCTGTAGAACACAACTTCCCTTCTACCAAAGCACACGTCAGGAAGATACTGTCAGTCGCTTATGATACATACTCGGATGGGACTGTTCACAGTCCTGCCAACTTCCCTGTCAACTGCAATTAAGAGAGTACATTTTAAAATCAGAACTTTCATTACTCAACCTTCTGCAGCTCAGATAATACAGCTTTATTGTTGCTTACACGATTTATTATAGTCTTTCTGCTTTGTTATGAGACGTCATAAGTCATATACTTTTAGATCAAGTTCAAGCAGCTAGGGGCCCATAAGGGAGAAGTCAGGCCCATAAAGGTCTTCGTCTTTTGATCTCAAGGGTTTTGGTTCATAGGATTGATTCTCTTTTCTTCGGGTTAATTGTATTTTCTAAGACTTTCTTCACTCTTTCCCATTGCGTCTTCCATAGCTTATAATATTAGTGATTCCTAGACTACTACGTAAGTGGCTAGAGACTATCGTGGATTGTCTACAAATGCTACTGGTAAGATGCCTGGCCAAGTGTTAACCTGGAGAAAGAAGCGAGTCCTCCCTTGTCAGGAAGATGACAGCCCGTTTCTGGGTGGCTCCGAGTCTTGCGTTTGCATCAGTGTGGTGGTGAGGGATTTGAAGTCTGAGTTGTGCCTGCGGTCATCTGTGTGTATCAGTTACAGCGGGACCCAGTGTGAGGTAGTGAGATTCCTGAGGAGCACTTACTGTTGTAGAAAACGGATTGCATCTCTATTTTCGTGAAAGCTTGACACACAGAATTTTGTAAAGTTAACTCAAACCTAATTAGAGCTTTGGGTAAATTGCGGAGTAGTCTGACCTCTTTTCTAATGTGTTACTAATGGCTACTTCTAAATCACGATGGTCCCGTGTGCTTAATTAAGATGATGGTTTCTATATGTGCATCAGAAAGCAGATGGGGAAGGAAAAACATGCTTATTTTCCTCAATGGTGGCAGGATTGTTTCTTGGCCCATTTTTACAAAACTAACATGAAATTAATAACACTAAGATGCTCTGCATTAATTGATACTCATAATTCTTAAAATAAGCCGTATAATCTCTGCTTGTGGAGTTCTAACTAGGAGGTATCATTGAAATCCTAGCCAGGACCCTATCCTAATATAGAACATTCATGCAATTCGATTGTCCACGTTGTCTCCTGGCTCTCTTTTCACAAACAACTCAGTGAAAATAGTGTTTTCGTCAACTGAAAATATGTGTCCAGGCCACTCACGTACCAGAAGAATGAAGCTGGCCCAGGCCCCTGTGCGTCTCTTAAGGCAAAGGTGAGCACATCAGTAGGGCTCTTTCAAAGGCCGCTCTGTGATACAGGTGCCTCCGGGGCGCCAGTCGGGATATTTAACTGGTGCTCCTTAGGGACAAAGGGTTCTTTCTGGTGGCGCAAGGGTTGGCGCATGGGGCTGCTAACCAAAAGACAAGTTTAAGCCCACAGCTGATGCCGGGAGAGTAGACCTGGCAGCCCGCTTCCTGGCAGATTACGGCCTGGGAAAGAGAGTTCGGCTCTGCCTGTGGGGCCCACTGCAAGTCAGGACTGAAGCATGACAATGACATTGTTCAGAAGAGGAAACTGACTTTCTCAACCACCTTTTGAGGTTCTCTTTCCCAGGGGAGGGGAGGCAACGTTTGTCATTGCAGGCGTCCTCAGAACTCGCTCCACAGCACTGGAGAGAAAGCACTGGCACAAGCCACCCGGTGCGGTGTTCTGTGCCCCATGGCTGTGCGGCCACTAGGCCTCTGGAGACGGCCGCTTTGGTTGTCCCTGACCACACAGTCTTTGACACTGCTTGTGGGCTGGCCTTTTCTGAAGCTGACTTGGCACGGATTCCTCTTGGTGATGACTCATAAAGCAAATGTTGTTTTTCACATAATTCCTGAAAGAAAGAAGCAGTCATGAAAACGTCAATCTTAATTTACAGCAGTGGTTTTTACGTTTTATGGAAAATGTGCACCCTTATTGAAAAATGTAACCCTGGGGTTTTAACTCTGCAGAAAAGACCCATTTTTACTGCGAGGCTTTCGTATCCTCATGAAATTCAGTCGAACATGGAGCTTTGGTCAGTTTCATGAGAAGAGTAAAATTAGGGGTGTCTTCCCGCAACAGAATCCCGTATACAGGGAAGGATTCCAAGGGTGGTCGAAGATAACATCTCAGGTCTGCTTCCTTAACCATTTCTCAAAACCTGCCAAGGTGCCTCCATTTATAATTAGAAAGCCTGTCTTCCTCAGTATCCCTTCCTGCATTATGAATTCTCCCCATAGGATTATTTCCACCAGCTGCC